AGGAATGCAAGAGACAAGGCCAGGCCACGTTGGGGCCTGGCGGCACCTTGGACTTCCCCGCCTCTGGCATCTTCCATTCCCCTCTTGAAGTAATGTTTATGAAATCACCTCTGAAAGAAATTCTTTTTGCCGAGTGCCCTGAGAAACACAACCAGCACGACACCCCGACTGCCGGATCTCTCCGCCAAAGAGCGCGCCCAGTGGACAAGGGCACAACGCCAAGGGCCTAAGTCCTCCCGGTTTCTGCCGCAGTGTCTCCAAAAATACGGGTAACCTGCCCAGAGGCGTCAGACGGCACAGCTTCATGGCTGCGAGGGCAGACCCTCAGACCCTCGGACCGTCTCCTGTCCCCTCGGTCACAAGCAGACTGTGCTGATTTGGGAGCTGGGGTTTCCCCCCAGGCCTTGTCTGGGGAGCCCCGGATGTGGGCCTCTTACCCGGCTCCCACAGGGCTTGGGCCCCACGTGTTTTCAAGACTCTTCATTCAGTACAGTAGCCAGCAGCTTCCCTGGACTTGGGTGAAATGGCTATTTCTTCTTACCTTCTTTTTTCCTCCCCAGTTTATGGTTTGTGACTTCCACAAGTGAGAGAGCAGCCCCCCTGGCAGGGTCTTCTTGCCCAGTGCCCCCAGGCCCAGGCAGCTATGACGGGTGGGCCCACGTGTGCCTGGCATAGTCAAGGGGGTCTGCAGAGCCTCTGCACTGTCAGGTCGGCGTTGTGGCATTGTTCTAGGGCCGAGCCACTGTCTGACCCCTGAAATGGGATTTCTGGCTCATATGGGCGTGAGGGGTAACACTAAATCTCACCTTTGTTTTACGCGGCTTCTCTGGGACGGCCTGGGGATGCAGTGATGAGAAGTGTCCTGCTGCCCGGGCCTCTGCGCAGCCCTGTGGGTCTCGGTCTGGCCTCACGAGTACTTTGCTGCTAAACTCAGAGATAAGACCTTTGCTCCCCAGAACTGAAGGGCTCTGCAGGGTCTCCCCTGGTGATGGGCAGAGGCAATGGAGGCCCAAGGGCACAGGAAGCACTTCCCAGAGCCAGCGCCGCCTCCAGCTCCTTCCCTCCAGGCCCAGCTTTCACTTCTCTGGCACCTCCAGCTGGGCACAGCAGCCTGCACAGGTCGGAGCAAGGCCCCCCCAGTCCTACACAGCTCCTGGACTGGGGTGTCTGCGTGGTCTGCTTCAGTCTCTCCAGCCCCATCTGGTTGCTTAGAAACAGAAGAGCCTCGCTGGCAGCCTGGGCAACTCCCATTACCCGCAGGAGTCCTGAGTCCTCTGGGTGTCTGCTGACGCGTCCTGGCGTGGGTGTGCTCTGCAGCCTTCTGAGGGCCACGTGGGCTCCCACCGCCTCGTTGCTGTGATGGCCCAGCAGTTGCACTGCCGGGCCACCCGTCAAGTCCTTCCGAGGTGTGACTGCCCGCGCTCTCTTCTT